CCTCTCTGTTCTATAAATTGAAGTGCCTGCAACATTTTACATCGCTGCGCTGTAAGACGGACAAATGAGTGAATGAGTATCTGACACCGACAGACGTCATGGCCTGTCCTTTGTTTTTTGTCTTTAAATCATCTGTTATTTGCAACAGTTGTGGAAGCTTAAACTTTCTATGTAACTACAGCGGACGAGCAAATTACAGTGGATTAACTCTACATTGTTCCTTCGTGCTCAAATCAACTGACACATCCCCACTTATTCAAGTCCTTAATTACAGTTTACAGCCTGTGGGTGGTTGGGACTGCTCTGATTGCAGCCGGTGGAAAGGAGAAAGAGGATGAGAGTGTGTATGAAGATGGCACAAGGGTGTCGTAGTGAGGGTAAATACACTCACCAAGTATGCTAGCATGTCTAGTAGTATAATTTGTTCACACAAGATGTTCGGAGAGCTACTATAGCTTGGGAAAACTGTGTTAGCAGCATGTTGAGATCACTGAAGTGCCAGCAGAGAGGGGTGTAAATATTTGGTATAAAGTATTTTCTCCTTTTCCTCTTTCCACCATCTGGTATTAGCACTGAGCTCTCTCTAAAGCTCCATAACTGCCACATGTTGACTCTCCAGTCACTGTCTCTTAGTCATTTCAACTGATCGGACCTATTCCTTCTTCAGTGACCAGCTGACTTTCTATAAGGATGCACTTCATTACTGCATGGCACAGCAAGCAGGTGGAACAGTGCTGTGAGGACGGTGTCTGTCTTGCGCGCATGGCCAGTCAAGATTTGATCATGCTGAAATCAAAACAGCCTCAGCTTTGTGTCGCTGCACGTTTTGAGTGCATGCTCAGCTTTGTGTGTGAGTAAATTATCTACGGTACATGCACAAACGCAACACTGACCTGAGTCTTGCCGATGTGCGTTTTTCATGACGCACGTGTACAGTACCTGCCCCAGTAATAATATGTATCCCGAAGCCTTTATAATATTTGTATAATGAGTGCATTAAGGATGGGAATCAGAGTTGCACAATTAAAGCTACATGTAAGCTCCTCGGGCAAGCCATAAATCCTTGTTTTAAAACAATAAATAATAAATAGAACCGCAAATAAACAAACTGCACTATTGGCTGATAATATTTTTATTTAGTCATTATTATTTTATTATTTGTAAATAAAATGCAGATGTATTGGCAGTAGCATTTATAACAGCAAAGAAAGCAAAGAAGAGAAGGGAGAAATATCCCTCAACCACAAAATGAGTATTGATGTGTAGTTTGTTGACCACAGGGGATTACAACAACCAGCATGATCCAAGCAAACAAATAGAAATGTTATGAAAATTCCACTTTAACCTTTAATGTGATGATCCTTTTTCAATCTATGTATAATTACTGCCTCCAGTCCACTGCCAGTCAGAACAAAAGGAAACTTTTTGCACACCTAAAGGCAGGACCTAAGGATGTTAATAGTATGGTGAGGTTAATTTTTCATATTTCAGAAAAGGCAGCAGATAACCGCCCAAAAATCTGTGTTAGTCCCGTCAATAAAACAAACAAGCAGTACATTATGAGGGATTAGCTGTCTTGCAACTTTTAATTATTGCTATGGCATTTCAGTGCCAGTTGTTGCAGTGTCAATTAAAATGTGGACTCACTCTCAGCAAAGGCGTAACTTAAAAAAATCCTTTCCACATTAAGTGACTGACTTACTTTTTCTTTTCTTTATTTTTGTAACACATTGTTGTATATTTTTGGACAATGTCATCTTTTGGTTTGGGACATGCATATTTCTCCGTTCAACAGGTTATGCCAGTAATCAATGTGTTTAGTGAAACTGAACTCAGGTTTCCAAAAAATGTGGTTAAACACAGTTTTCATTTCATTCACAATTTAACAAAAGGGGCAATTACTTTTCATAGCACCAGGTAGGTTTGGATAACTTTTCTCCCTTAATCAACGACATCTTCATTTAAAACTGCATCTACTCTGGTTATCTTTGTCTAATATCAAAATCTGTTTGATGATCTGAAACATGTAAGTGTGACAAATGTGCAAAACATTAGGAAATTAGGAAGTGGGCAAACACTTATTCACACCACTATACATGTAACGCCGTTACTGAAATCTATTTAGCCAGGAAAAGGGAAAGACAAAACTGTGATTGACCGGACAGAGACAAATAGACATTTATTCCTGTGCTAACACTAATGGTAGCCCATTGGTCAGTCCTATTTGGACTTTGTATTTCCCCAAGCTTTTCTGACCAGACTGTCTGTGCAACCATTTCAACTCTGTTACATATTTTACCAATAGAAGACAGATTAATTTCAAAGTTTACCTGATTGATTTATCCTGGAATTTCACAACCATCAGAATCCACAGGTACCATATTTTTCAAAGAAAACACTTATGCTAGCACTGATTTGCACCCCTGTTAAATATATATAAAACAAACACAGAGTGGAGGTCAAAGCTATTAGCTAGCGAGCGCCAATATATAGCTGCATCCATAAACTATATGGGTGCAATGCAAAGGCTTGGAGACTGCTAAATAATGCCAAGTAGTAAAATACCAGAACTTCATTCACTAAAATTGAAGCACTAGCATTCTGGTGTTATTTGCCAGTGGAAGGCCACACTAAGGCCCAGTATCAGATAAAAAATGATATTTAAAACTGTATATCAGGCTAAACTACTCCATTAAACCAGTGGAAGTAAGGTGAGCACAATAAGTTAAACGTATAAATACAGAAAGGGTTTTGAACTCAAATTATTCAGTTCATGTGGCACATTTAAGTTTTTGGTGTTTTTAGCTTTATGCTGTTAGCACCCATCATATGTAAATAAATGCTAAGTCAATGTCAATCCTGTTGTTATATCTGAAAAATATAAAACAATATAACAATGAATGGATACAATAGATACAATAGAGCATGCTCATATGAAAAGAGCAGGTGAAACATATAAAATGTAAAGGGCAGGTTTGGTTTAAAAGGGCAGTGACCTCTTAAAGTAAAATACTCTATAATCTAACACAAAACTAAAAGCTGATCAAAACTTAAAAACACTTGGCATTGCCTTCAACAGCATATATATATATTTATGTATGCTGTATCTATTTAAGAAGCCATACCAAAGATTAAAACTAGGTAGAACACTTTTAAGCCAACAGTGAAACATTCACAGGGGCTGGCGAAATAAGAACACTATCAGGTTGTTTATAGTGTTATGATAGATGATGCAGCTCCTTGGAGAGTAACCCGAGTGAAAATAGCCCAGGATTTTTCTCTATTTTCACCTCCATTATCCTAGTGGGTTCACTGGAAATAAAAGCTCAGAAGCTTGAAATTAATAATTAAATTAAATTGTACTCTCAGAGACAAAAAAAGAACAAGACCCCAGGTCAGGATGAATCAGCGAGCATAGCTACTAATTGTTTATTTTCACGATGAACTTAGTCAGAGGGTGTCATTGCTGTTGATGCATCACACTGGATTCTAAAAGCCTGAGTGGCAGCAGGATGATATCCAGCAGGAGAACATCTGGCATGAGCACACACTCCACTGTTGCCCAGCATTATGGCTTGCAATTAGGAAAACAACAAGGTAATGGTTGAAAAAGAGTACTATCAAAAAGGTGCGAAGGGAACTTAACTTTGATGTTTCATGTGGATAATTATTGTAATTCTCTTTGAGTACTAGCCATTAGAGCTTTAATGTTAGGGAAAATGTGGGTTTGGTTATTATAAGCAGTTTATTGTACAACTGTTGCTGGGTGAAAGGCCTCAGTCCCTTCTGAATAACATCAATATACATATTCCATCAAAACAGCATGAATACGCTGCTATTCCCTCATTATAATAGCTTTTACAATGAAGTCTGACCCAAAGCATTTGGCGAAGTGCTGAAAAAAACTGATGCAATCTGGTTTCATCCGCCGGGAAACTGCTGTTGATATACCACTGAATGTTTTCACCCCTAATGAAGTAATTAGGTGCAAACAAAAGGGCCAGCCTGGTAAATGTTGTGGGTATAGTGTATTTATTTTTCTGTGGCTTTTATTTAACAACCTCGCAGCTTAGCCATTATAAGAGCAGCGTCTAAAATAATTAGTTGTCTAAGTCTGGTCAGCATCACTGTCTAAACATTTGTGTGTAGTACAAGTGATATTTGATTGAGAGTGATACAACACTTCGGCACAGTATATATTCAATTAATTCAATTTTATGTATATAGTTTCAAAATAAAACAACAGTTGCTTCACTTAATATTGAGCAAGCACTTGGCAACAGTGGAAATGAAAAACTCCCCTTTAAAAGGAAGAAACCTCTGGCAGAACCAGGCTCAAGGAGGGAGCCATCTGCCACAAGTAGTTGCGGGTGAATGAAAAAGAAAAGAGAAGAGGGAATCAGGAGAGAGAAGTAAAGAAAAATCACTCATTGCAATAAGGGAAGTCCCCAGTAGCCTTGCCTAGAACAGCCTGATAATAATGAAGTACAATAGTCAAGCCTAGAAGTAATAAATGCATTAACTATTTTAAGTTAGAGGTCATTATGTCTTTAAGACATCCATGCAATTTAACTAATTGGTGTGTATCATGTGGCTTCATTTAGAAATAAAGCTTGGTACCAAATGTATGCTATGCCTTCTAATAACCTAGCCTAAGGGAAGCATGTATAATGTAAATAGAACTGGTCCCAGTACAGAACCCTGTGGAACTCCGTAATTATTCTTAATGTGTAAAGACAAGCTGGAGTCTATTAGAGAGATATTATTCACTGCAGTGCAGTACTTTTAATACATAGGACATGTTCTAATCTTTGTAGTAAAATATTGTGGCTAACGGTATAGAATGTCTCATAGAAATGAATCTGCTGTCATACATCCGTTTGATTTATTCCTAACCGAAGAAGGTGGAGAATGAAAACAAAGTGATCATGTGTCCCGCTCACTTTGTTTACCTAAATGTCAACCAGGCAGGACAGCTGAGTTCATTTACCCCCAGATTAGTGAAAGCAAACCATTTCTACACAGGCACTGTCCGGGGAATGAGAGCCCAACATGACCGGGTGAGTGCTAGTTATTCATTTTTACAAAGCAATCCTTGTAACTGTTGCCATCACACCTAATTTTTCCCAGTGGCCTCTATGTTGTTGTTCTTTTTTCTCTACTCCATGTCTCGCTGAGTGTGGAAATGACAGGGTTATACGGCACCTTCACCTCTCCCAACTTCCCCCAGCCTTACCCTGACAACCAGCACGTAGTGTGGAACATCACTGTCCCAGATGGCCACAGGGTCAAACTCTACTTTACCCACTTCAGCATGGAACTCTCAGACCAGTGTGAATATGACTACATCCAGGTACATGTAGGAGGAAGTCAGCCTCCCATTATGTGCACTGACTTGGCATCAGTAGCTTGCTCACTAAAAGGCCTCTGACCTTGTCAAACCAGGTTTTGGCAGAGGGGAATGAAACCTTGCGGTTCTGCGGAGAGGAAGGGAAGAACCATGAAAGCACCCCGAGGAATACAATCATCCTGTCAGCCCGAAACCTCATGTCAGTGGTCTTTAGGAGTGACTACTCTAACGAGGGACGATTCACCGGCTTCCAAGCATTTTACACCTCAGAAGGTGATGCAAAATAGTGACATTTGTTGCCAGAAGGGAGACACATTTTTCTCAGTTGTAATTACACAGAACAAAGAGTAGTGAGGTTTCTACTGAAATGCAGTCTTCACAGGTATATGCAGCTCTTTTAATTAATTCACATTAATAAAGTCAGACAGCAAACTACAAATACAATGTAATATTTAGAAAACAGCAGGAATAATGCCCCACATCAAGAAATTATTTTAGAAGGCTCTTAATTTTATATATAATGTAACTGTTATTTATTCATGGTGCTTTCATTACAGGCCCTCCTCTTTATCTTCTCTTGGGATTTAAATGACTCTGAAGTTAACAAAAAAATGTGTTTTCCCACAGTTAAACTGTTATTTTAATTGGCTGCAGTGGCACACCCAAGAGACTTTTGCAGAGCCTATGAAAAAA